GGGGGGGGGGGGGTGGTTGAAAACAGTTTCAGGGACGCCCCCTTCCCATCCTTTCCTCTTCACCCCCCACCCACCCTGTGTTGTGATGGGAGCTGACATGCCGTGGGCTGCAGCCGCCACAGGGGGAATCCCTGCCGGAAGATTTTGCCTGGAGCAGAGGCATAGCATGAGTATGTGAGTGAGTGTATGTGTGTGTAGGCATGTATGGGGCCTTGTATGTGCCCACTGATGTGAGCACAGAGGTCTGCCCAGTGCTTGGGAGCTCAGAAGAGCCCAGGATGAAACCAGGCTTTGAGAAGAACTTCCTAAGGCTGAGCAGGGAGACCGATGTGGTTTTCTTAGTCTCTCCCACCTTCATACTCCCTTTCCCTCTGATAAAGGGTGGGGGTGTTGTCGGTAACATTTATTGCATATTTACTGTGTGCCAGGCCCTTTGCTCAGGGGCCCCCATGAATGAGTTCACTGAAACCTTGCAACAACCAGTGAAGATGATACAATTTTCATCCCATTTTACAAAACAGGAAAGTATGGCCTACTTAGGGGAAATCATTGGTTTGAGGTCACAGAGCTAGGAAGTGGGTAGAACCAGGACTTGAACCTGAGTCTGTCTGATTTCAAAGCACTTGCTTTCGATAATAGTGCATACTTCTATGCCTGGCACAAAACGGGCACTCCAGGATGATAATAATTAACATGTACTAAACACGTTTTATGTGTTCATAAGTAGTACACCATGCTCTTTAACCCATTTAACCCTCAGAGGTAAGGCCTGTTTTTTTTGTGTGTGTTTTTTATCTCCTTTTTACAGATGAAGAAACCGAGATTCAGAGAGGTTCAGACACTTGCCCGAGGTCACACAGCTAGTAAGTGTCAGAGTGGAATTTGAACTCTGGGAATATGGCTTCGAAATCCAAGAACTGAAAACCCTAGTTAGCAGTGATTTTTCAAAATGTTCAGTGGGTACAAGGGCCAGGCAGGGTCAGGTGTCACCCCTCTGGATGGGAGATTATGAGAGATCTGGGAGCCCCTGGAGGAGGGGCAGAGGTTGGGATAGGACACTCAGGGGTGGGACAGCGGTGATTTACCAAGCAGCATTGAAATACTGTTAACAACTGCATGCCAACCTATGCTCAGTGCGGCCACTGCCCTAGAGAACGTGGCTGTCAGGAAGGGAGGGGTCTGGGTGAGGCTCCTGGCAGAGCAGCCCAGGCAGCCAGGCTGGCCAGCAAGCTCAGTGCCTGGGTAACCGGTCTCCTTGTCCTTCAGGTCTTACTGTCCACTCCTCCCCCCTTCCCCCTGCACCATGGCTCCGGGCCCCTTCTGCGCGCTGCCCTCGCCACCGCCTGCTGCCCTGTCCTTTCTGCTGCTCCTCTGGGCCGGGGCATCTCGCGGCCAGCCCTGCCCGGGCCGCTGCATCTGCCAGAACGTGGCGCCCACGCTGACCATGCTGTGCGCCAAGACGGGCTTGCTGTTCGTGCCGCCGGCCATCGACCGGCGCGTGGTGGAGCTGCGGCTCACAGACAACTTCATCGCGGCCGTCCGCCGCCGGGACTTCGCCAACATGACCAGCCTGGTGCACCTCACCCTCTCCCGTAACACCATCGGCCAGGTGGCAGCCGGCGCCTTTGCTGACCTCCGCGCGCTCCGCGCTCTGCACCTCGACAGCAACCGCCTGGCCGAGGTGCGCGGCGACCAGCTGCGGGGCTTGGGCAACCTCCGCCACCTGATCCTCGGCAACAACCAGATCCGCCGGGTGGAGTCGGCGGCCTTCGACGCCTTTCTGTCCACCGTGGAGGACCTGGATCTGTCCTACAACAACCTCGAGGCCCTGCCCTGGGAGGCCGTAGGCCAGATGGTGAACCTGAACACCCTCACGCTGGACCACAATCTCATTGACCACATCGCCGAAGGCACCTTCGTGCAACTTCACAAACTGGTTCGCCTGGACATGACCTCCAACCGCCTCCATAAACTGCCCCCCGATGGGCTCTTCCTGAGGTCCCAAGGCCCTGGGCCCAAGCCGCCCACGCCACTCACGGTCAGCTTTGGGGGCAACCCCCTGCACTGCAACTGCGAGCTGCTCTGGCTGCGGCGGCTGACCAGAGAGGACGACCTGGAGACCTGTGCCACCCCTGAGCACCTCACTGACCGCTACTTCTGGTCCATCCCGGAGGAGGAGTTCCTGTGCGAACCCCCGCTGATCACCCGGCAGGCGGGGGGCCGGGCCCTGGTGGTGGAGGGCCAGGCAGTCAGCCTGCGGTGCCGGGCGGTGGGTGACCCTGAGCCGGTGGTGCACTGGGTGGCACCCGACGGGCGGTTGCTGGGGAACTCGAGCCGGACCCGGGTGCGGGGGGATGGGACACTGGATGTAACCATCACCACCTTGCGGGACAGCGGCACCTTCACTTGCATCGCCTCCAATGCCGCCGGGGAAGCCACGGCCCCCGTGGAGGTGTGCGTGGTGCCTCTGCCGCTGATGGCGCCCCCGCCGGCGGCCCCGCCGCCTCTCACCGAGCCGGGCTCCTCCGACATTGCCACGCCCGGCCGGCCTGGTGCCAACGAATCCGCCGAGCGCCGGCTGGTGGCGGCGGAGCTCACCTCCAGCTCCGTGCTCATCCGCTGGCCGGCGCAGAGGCCGGTGCCCGGCATCCGCATGTACCAAGTGCAGTACAACAGCTCCGCGGACGACTCCCTCGTCTACAGGTGGGTGCTTGCGCCCCAGAGCCTCCTCCCACCCCGAGGGCCCTCCCTGCCTTTGCCCACTTCCTTGGGCCTTCTTGCTCAGCTGGGGTTCTAGGTGGCCATGTAGAGTTGCTCTGGCTTCTTCTGTCTCTATTTCTGTATTCTTGTCTCTTTCTGTTTTTCATGCATTTTGCAAATCTTTGTTGAGCACCCACATGAGCCAGACTGGGCACTGGAGTTATAACAGTGAATGTGCCCCGCGTGAACCGCACTCCCATGGGGCTCATGGTCCACATTCCTGCTCGCCAAAGGTATTTGATTGTGTACCTTGTCAGTTAAACATTTTGGAGCATGAGATACACACACACACACATTTAACAGTTACATTTATATTTATAAATTATATGCCAGTGCTACTGTATAAACACATTGGATACATTATAGAACAGAAAACCAAAATACATAAATATGAGTTATTTTCACTATCTACTGGGTTAGAAGCCATTGCCCTGGTGTGGACAGCCCTGTACGTTGTAGACAGACCTGTATGGTGTGGACAGACATTAAAGAGTTAATTTCTCCCATCATTTCTCTTACTTTCACATCTGTCTCTGTCTGTCCCTTCTCTCCCTCCTGCTCTAGTTATGCACTGAGCCCCTACTCTGTGCTAGGCCCTGAGCAGGGCACTGTCGATACAGGGAGACCAAAAGACCAGTCCCTGCCCTCAGGGCGCTCACAGTCCAGAGGAAGGAGGGAGCTAGTACATGCTGAATTATTGCCCTTCATCCTGGTAGCTTTTTAAGTATGGCTCACAGCCATAGACCTGGCACACAATGGGCACTTGGTAAGTGGTTGTTGGCTTGGTGAATGTCTCTCCTTCCTGGCTCTGTCTCCCTCATGCACACTGTAGAGCACCTGCTGAATGCTTATCCTGTGTTTGACTTCATTTGGGAATGCCAGAGGGTGTAAAGCCATTTTTGGGAGCCCCGTTTTTGGGGGTGCTCAGATCTTCACTGAAAAGCCTACCTCTTGGTCTCCATCTTCACCTTTGCCAGGGTTCTCTTGGCCACAGTCCTGGTACACAGTAGGCGCTTTCCTATTGTTGGCCGAATGAATAAATGCCTCTCTTTTCCTTCATCTCTGTCACCTTCATTTCCTTCTCTTTTAGAATCTGGTTACCAAACACTGAGTAGTTGCCTACTGCATGCTAGAGTCCATACTGGGTGCTGGGGCCACCAAGAGAGATGAGACACTGGCCCAGTTTTACAAACATGAGGGCAAACAAATGAACAAAACAAAAACCTTTATAAGGTTCTACCGAGGATGCTACCTCGTTCGATCTTTCCAACTCTGCTTTGAAGCAGCGATGATCCCCCTTCCATTTTATAGATAGGGAAACTGAGGGTTGGTGGTGGGAAGCCACTTGCTCAAGGTTACACAGAAAGTAGCAGAGCCAGGACTCCAGCTCTTACCCCTCTAACTCCTAATCCTGCCCGTTTTACATTGAACACCCATTTATTGAGCACCTACTGTTTGCCAAGCAGGGATTAGTGGAGCTGGGTAGTACATTTCTGAAAATAACTCTTGGTTTGTGACTCTCCACTTTTCTGTTTCTTTCCTTCTCTCTCTAACCTGTGGCCACTACATGGTGAGGTACAGGGAGGTTTGCAGGCCTCCAGACCCTGCATGTATTCAGATGTTGAGATCCCTCTGTTGATAGACCTGGGTGGGGGCTCTTCCCTCCCCGAGGGCCACAGTTCCAGTCCTGTATCCCCCTTGCAGATGCCTGTACTATGGTGCTGTAGGGGTTAATTTCCTCACTGCTGCCACGGGTGGAGGTGACATCCAACCAGAAGCGTGCTCTGCTGCTTGCTTGGGTCTTTCAGCCAATTAGAGATATGTGGGCTTAAGCTTTCTTAAGGAGCCAGCCTCTGTCCTTGAAAAGGGGGGAGCCCCTAGCAACTGTTTTTTTAGGGGAAGGAGCAAGAGGAATCCAAGTCTCTCTGAGAGGGGAGATAGAAGGAAAAGGAAGACTTACAGCCTGGGGCCCAAGGTCGGGAGTGGTCAGTTAAATGGCAGGCAAGGGGAGAGTTGGATGAGTGGGTTGGCCTTTTTGAGGGGGAAGGGCCCTTGCTTGAAGTCTTTTGGTTGGAGGATGGCTTTTGGTGGTAGGGAACCTCCAGTAGGTGGGACAACTGCAGTGAGCTTCAGGATCAGAAGGTGGCCTGGCTGGAGGGAAGGTGAAGCTTCTGAGAGGTAAGAGGCCTATGGAGATGGGGGCACAGCTTCTCAGAGGAGGTGGAGCTTCTGCTTCATGGTCCCATGCAGATGAATATGTGGTCCTTGTCTCTGGTGACCCACTAAGACCTTTGTAGGAGAGGAGAGCTTGTGAGGTTGAGTGCTGGGCGTGCAAGTCCATGTGGACGTGGCAGTCCCGGGTTAGCCAAGGCTGGACATGGCCAACAGTGTGGAGAGGGTGTGTCCAACAGAAGGGGAAGGGCCTAGTGGGAATGGTCTTATAGATGGGAATGGATGCAACTAGCAGTAGAGTGTGAGCCACAGTAAGGGTTAGCCAACATAGGGCAAGCTAATAATGATGAAATTGTCAGGCTTTGGGTATATTAACTCATTCATACGCCACATCATCTCTGTGATATACTAATTCTTAATATCCCCACTTGGGGGAAATGAGGCACAGAGTGGAAAAAAAACTTGCCTAAGGTCACAGCTAGCAAGTGGCAGATGAGAGACTCAAACCCAGGCAGTCTGGCACCTAGACTCATCAGTTTAACCACTTCTCTGCCCTTCATTTGAGGGCAGGGGCCTAGAGCAAGAAATGGGGCATGCTTGCCTGGCTACATTTGACCCAATTATAGGTGAGACTTACCTGGGGGTGTGGCTGGGTGACATGGCAGTATAGGGCAGGGCACACACACACAGCAGTTTCAGGGCATGCAAAGAGTGGACACAGCCCTAGGCAGAGCAGGGCAACCACCCCTAGTGGGCTATTATGGGGTGTGGTGCAGGAATATGTAGTTAAGAGGCTTGGCAATTGTCTCAGAAGATAGACACAGCTAGGAGAGAAATTTACCCAAAGATGAGACATGCAGTTTAAAGGAGTGGCCTGTACACACATGGTTTCCCTGAAAGGGCAGGAATATGTAGAAAAGGGGAACTGGAGGCTCTGGCTGGGTAGCTCAGTTGAAGCATCACCTGGATATGCCAAGGTTGCAGGTTTGATCCCGTCAGGGCACATGCAATAATCAAGCAAGGAATGCATAAATAAGTGGAACAACAAAAATTAATGTTTCTCTCTCTCCCTCTCCCTCCTCTCTCTGTAAAGCCATAGACGGGGATGTGAGTTGACCTTAGTGTCCACTTGAGTGAGGGTGGGACATGCTGGTAGGGGATGTGGCCTGTAGCAATGGGGCCCCTTAAGGATGGAAATATGTAGATAAAATAACTTGAATGTTGCCCTAATATGGTGAGACACTGCTAGGGGGCCTTTCCCTTGAGGGTAGGGCATAAAAGCTATAGCACTCTTCTAATGCCAAGACTAGAATATGTAGATAAGGGAACATAATTGACAGATATTGGCCTACTAGGCAATAAGACAGCTAGGGGTGGGTCTGAGGGCGGGGCACCAGATGAAGGGCTGCTGTTGTCTTGGTAGAGGGTGAGATACCGGTAGGGACGCATGGTTTGGTGCCCACTGTCACCACGGGTGGGACGGACAGACAAGGCTTGGTTCAGAGCGGAGCTAACACTGCGCTGGTCCCGCCCCTTCCCGCAGGATGATCCCCTCCACCAGCCAGACCTTCCTGGTGAATGATCTGGCAGCGGGCCGCGCCTACGACCTGTGCGTGCTGGCAGTCTACGACGACGGGGCCACGGCGCTGCCGGCCACGCGAGTGGTGGGCTGCGTGCAGTTTACCACGGCTGGGGACCCGGCGCCCTGCCGCCCGCTGAGGGCCCACTTCTTGGGCGGCACCATGATCATCGCCATCGGGGGCGTCATCGTCGCCTCGGTCCTAGTCTTCATCGTTCTGCTCATGATCCGCTACAAGGTCTACGGCGACGGAGATGGCCGCCGCGTCAAGGGCACCTCCAGGTCCCCGCCGCTCGTCAGCCACGTGTGCTCGCAGACCAACGGTGCGGGCGCGCCGCAGGCCCTGCCCCCGCCAGCGCAGGACCGGTACGAGGCGCTGCGCGAGGTGGCGTCCCCGGCTGCAGCCGCGGTGGCGGTGGAAGCAAAGGCCGCGGTGGTAGAGACGGCTTCCGCAGACCCAGAGGCCGTCCTCGGACGCTCCCTGGGCGGCTCGGCCACCTCTCTGTGTCTCCTGCCGTCGGAGGAAACCTGCGGGGAGGACTCTCGAGCCGCGGTGGGTCCTCGGAGGAGCCGTTCTGGGGCCCTGGGGCCACCAGCTTCGGCGCCCCCCACTCTAGCTCTGGTTCCTGGGGGGGCTCCGGCCCGGCCGAGGCCGCAGCAGCGTTATTCGTTCGACGGGGACTACGGGGCGCTCTTCCAGAGCCACAGTTACCCGCGCCGCGCCCGGCGGACAAAGCGCCACCGGTCCACACCTCACCTGGACGTGGCCGGAGGGGGCGCGGCCGGGGACGACGGAGACCTGGGGCTGGGCTCCGCCAGGGCGCGCCTGGCCTTCACCAGCACCGAGTGGATGCTGGAGAGTACCGTGTGAGCGGCGGGCGGCGCCGGGACGCCTGGCGCCGCGGACCAGGCCCAGCCGCCCAGACCCCAGGGAGGACTTGGGGAGAAAGCACAGCGCCGAGACCTCTGACTGGAGGGCCCTTCTCCTCCCAGGAGGGGGCGCTGCGGCCTCAGGCTGAGGCTGGAGGCCACGCCCCTGTCCTGGGGAGCTAGGGGGCGGGGCCGCTGGGCTCCTCCCCGGAGGACTCCCGCCCCCTCGCCCCTCCCCCAGCGCGCTCGCGGACCTCGCTGGAGCCGGTGCCTTACACAGCGAAGCGCGGGGAGGGGCAGGGCCCCCCGACACTGCAGCACTGAGACACGAGCCCCCTCCCCCTGCCCGGGACCAGGGGCAGGGGCGAGGGTCCCATTTCTTGTATCTGGCTGGACTAGATCCTATTCTGTCCCGCGGCGGCCTCCAAAAGCCCTCACCCCCAGCCCATTCACCTCCCTGGTCCCCGACGGGTCTGGCTTGGGGTCCCCTTTTCTCTGTCCCCCTCTTCTGTCTCTGTCCCGCTCTGTCTTCTCTGTCTTAATGTCTCTGTCCTTCCCTATTTGTCTCTTTTTTCTCTGTCCCGTTGTCTCTTCTCCCTCTGCCCTCCCGTATTTTGTCCAGCCTCCCTGTCTCTCCTGATTACCTCCCCCCACTACATATTCTCCCGGGCAGGTCCCACTGGAAGGACCAGACTCTCCCCTATTCCTTCCTCTTTCCCCAAATAAATCCCCACATGAACAAAATCCAAAACAAAGTCCTCCTCCCTACTGGAGCCAGGACCCTCCGCCGCAGCAGAATTAAACTTTTTTCTGTGTCTGAGGCCGCTCTGCTGACCTCTGCCTGTGTCCTTGTGTCTTTGGGGTGGGGGGGTAACCTGGATCACAGCATAAGGACTAAGTGAGACTGAAGGAAAGATGGCTAACTGGGCCCAGGCAGACTTGCAGACAATGTCCTATCCTCTGAGAGACTTAGAGGTGGGAAATATAATAAAATGATAATAGCTAACATTTAGTGAGTGATTACTATGTGCCAAGCACTTAAATCATTTAATCCTCACAACCCTAAAACGTATTAGTTATCCCATTTTACAGATGAGGAAATTGATGCCCAGAAATGTTAAGGAATGTGCCCAAAGTCACATAACCAGAAGGTGGCAAAATTGGGATTTGAAAAGGCAGGCAGCCTGACTTCTGAGTCTGCCCTCTTAACCACTGAACCCCACTGCTGAGCAGTTAGTGAATGCTCATTCCACATACAGGCCTTGTGCTAAGCACAGCTCCTCTTTCTGAGGCTGGGCAACTGTCCGAGGTAGACATCTTTGGTTCCATTTTACAGACAGGAATCTGAACCAGGGAGAATGGAAGTCACTGGCCCAAAGATCCAGTGAAGAAATAGTGGAGCTGGCAGTTTGATCTCCGCGTCTGTCTGTTCCTTACCTTTACACTCTGTTGCATCTGGAGGCTGGGAATGGCCCCAATGGCCTTAGCTGAGCCTAAGTATCCAAAGCCAGCCTGGTGAGGGAGGAATGAGTGAAAGAGCTCATTGGTTACTGTCTGGAATATGGGAGATGGGAAGTGGAGAAGGGGTCTGCTGGCGGCACAGAGGAAGGATGGCGTGGGGAGGGGAGTTTCGGGTAAGGCTGAGGATTGTGGCTGGGGAAGGAAAGTTGGTCGGGGGACACCCCAGCCCTTGTTGGGGCGCCCTGCAGTGAAAACTTACCGATCCTGGAGAAGGAAGAGACTTCATGCCAGCCAGGGGCCCCCTGAGGCCTGGGGCGGAGGAGAGAAAGACAGAAATAGAAACAGCAGGAGGGAGGGGGAAGATCTGGGCAGACAGGGTGGGAGGCAGCAAGGACAGAGGCACCAGAGAATCAGGCCAGGAGGCTCTGTCACCCAGTGACCCAGCCGCACTTATCTATCTCAGTCATCACGACTCCTGGCTGCTGAGGGCTGCCCACAAGCCAGGCACTGCTCACAAACCCTCCCTGGTGCATAGGCAATGGGCGGGAAAGGGGGCATCTGTAACACTCTCAACAATAAAGACTTAAAAAAAGAGCATGCAACCCAGCACCAGGCACATAATGCTCACAAAATGAAGTTACTTGGATGGTAAGCATGATCTCATTTATTCTCTGCAGCTGACATGTAGTGTGTGCACCCACATTTCTAGATGAGGAAATGGTTTAGAGGTTAAGGAGCTTGTCCCAGATCATGCAGCCAGTAAACGGCAGAGCCGTGATTGGAAAGTTGACTGCCTCCAAATCCTGCACACCTAATCATCTGACTATAGTGTCTTTGAGTCACCCGATAAAACTTTATTGAGCATGTACTATGTACCTGGTCCTGTGCAGGGGATACAGCAGGAAACAAAGTAGACAAATAAAATAAGAAACCCCTACCTCTTGGGGGAGACAGTAAACAAGCAAGTAAATATGTAATGAACATCTAGTGATAAGTGCCATGAAATGAATGAAAGCATTCATTCATTTGAATAGGACAGAGAATGACTGGGAAGCCTACTTTAGATTTGGGGTGGGGGTGTCAAGGAAGGTGGTGTTGGAGCTGAAGAAATCCAATGTGGGAAGAGCCAGGGAAAGGCATTCCTAGCAATGGAAATAGAGCATGTGCAAAGGCCCTGAGAAAGAACTGTGCTTGGTGTGTGCACTGGAGTGAAGAAGAGAGCAAGTGGGAAAGAGAAGCAAGGAGCAGATTCTGTAGAACCTTGTGGTCTGTGGTTAAGAGTCAAGATTTTATTCTTAGAGCTGTGGGGAGCCAATGGAGGGTTGTGAGTGGGGGTGGTATGTGGCCTGATTTCTGCGGAGACCCCAGCTGTGGGGTGTGCCTGCCTTCAGAACAAAATCAGGAACTGTCATCTCAAAACATGACATCCATCCATTGACATATTGGGGCCCACATGGTCCCTGGTTTAGCCCTTTGGAGGATACCCACCATCTTCTTTCTCCTGTAACCCTAAGGCCCTTTATTTAATAGAGAATCAATGCCAATGAGAAGCTCATTTTTTCAAAATTGAGAGCTTTAAACTCAAGGAACAGGTACCCCAGCGAGAGAGTAAGAGAGGGCGTGGTATCTTCCAAGGGGAGTGTTTGAGCATCTGTTCTGTGTCTGGCCCTGTGCTGGGCACTGTAGACCCAGCAGTGACCAAGACAGACCTAGTCCCTGTCCTCCTGGACGGATGACAACAGTACTGTGATGGGAGAAGAAAAGAACACGGTGCGAGCCCAGAGGAGCTGCCTTACGCCACCTGCAGGTGCAGGGACATGTATTAATCAGAGTCTTTCGGCAGCAAGTCACAGGAACATAGCTTAACAGGAAATGTACAAAAAGCAGGCATTTGTTGGCTCAGATAACTGGGAAGGAGACAATTTAGGGTAAATGTACAAAGAACTTGGCCTTAGAGACTGAACCCCAGACTCAACTCCATCAAGACACTCTCCTACTCATCTCTGTCTCAGCTCATCCATCCCCTTCAACTGCATGTGCTGGGAAAATGGCCATTTATTTGCAGAGTGGGACCCAATCCTTCCAGTACCACAGCTTAGTGGGAAAATGGCAAAATCTCTAGTCTAAATGGAAAAAAAAAAATCCCAGGAAAGAGCTCAGATTGGACTGATTGGGTGACATGCCACCCTTGCTCTGGTTGTGGCATCCAAGGGAATGGAATACTTTAATTGGCCAGGTAGGTGTTGGTTTAGCCTTCAGTATTTAGGTGTCCAGGTTGGATGGCCTGGGGGAAGGGAGCAGCTAAAAAAAAAAATTTTTTTTTAGGTTGAACCATATGAAATTGCCAGTTTTGTAGGTCAGAAATAACAGAATATTGGCAACTTCATATGGTCGATCCTAAATACTCAGCAGAAAAGTCAGATGGGAAAGCTTGTTGGGCCTATAAAAGTAATAGAAATCCCAGTGAACCACTCTGAAGGGTGTTTGGAAGAGCAGGCGATATTAGCTGAGACATAGGGGATGAGTGGAAATTAGCCAGGTAAAGACATGGTGGCAGCGGGAGAGGAGTACAGCTATGTTTCAAGCAGAGGAAACAGCTTATGCAAAGGCTCTCAGGGAGGACTTGTCCCTGTGATCTGGAGCTGGAGTGATCTGACTGAGCAAACCTGAGCCTTTTGTCCAACCAAGTGAAGGACTGGGGAGGGAACTTTAGCAGGAGAAATGGATGCTGGGCAGGTAAAACCAAAATAAATCCACTTCAGAATTTCTTTGTTAGTTCTTTGCTTCTCCAAGTGTAGATTTGCAACCTTTTATTATTATTATTATTATTTTTATTATTTTTAATTCTCACCTGAGGGTATTTTTGCCATTGCTTTTCAGAGAGAACGGAAGGGGGAGAGAGAGAGAGAGATCAATGCGAGAGAAGACACATAGATTGGTTGCCTCTGGCACACGCCCTGACCTGGGCCGGGGATGGAGCCTGCAGTCGAGGTATGTGCCCTTGGCTGGAAATGAACCCGGGACCCTTCAGTCCTCAGAACTATGCTCTAACCACTGAGCAAACTGGCCAGGGCTGCAACCTTATTTCTATAATAGCACTCATATTGAAGAGGGTTGTATGCCTGAACTCAGACATGCCCTACAGGTTTCAAATTTTTATTATCAAATATGAATTGACCACCTTCTCTGGTTTTTGTGCTGGGCATGCAGAGCTGGATTTGTGAGGATTCACTTGGCTGCAAACCCAATTAACATGACTGAAGACATTTGGTTACCTTATTTAATAAGAATTCTGGAGTTAGGTTTGGAAGTTTGGTGCAATGGCTTATTGATATCACCATGGACCCATTTTCTACCCTTCTGTTTTACCTTCCTGAGAAGGATAGATTCATATCCTAGACTTGTCTCATGGTCACAAAACGGCCACCAGAGCTCCAGGTCTCACACCTTCATGCCAATGAACTAAGTAGGAAGGAAGGGAACAAAAGGAAGCTTTCTTTGTGTCAAGGGGGGAAAAAATCTAAAATTCTTGCCCTGGGTTGGCCACCTTGCTGCCTCCATCCAAACTGGGGTTCTGTCACTTACAAACTATATAGTGCAGTAGAGAGGCTATGGGATTGTATGTAATTTCTAGTGTATGGCTGTATTCCAGCCTTTATCTCCTAACTGAAAAAACGTGTGAATGCAAAGGAGTGAGAGTTATAGAATTATGGGGATGATTCTGAAACCCCTGTAATGTGACAAAAACTCAACCATTCAGAAACTCCAGTGGGTTACTCTTGGTAATACATTTCTTGTGACACACCTCGTAAGGGATAAAACAAACTTAGTGGCATAAAACAAAATATATTTTATTATGCTCCCAGATTCTGTGGGTTGGGAACTTGATCATGTGGGATGGCACAGCTGGGAGCTGGAATCATGTGGCTGCTTCCTCACTCACATGTCTGGTTACAGAGCTGGGATGACTGCAAAGCTGAGTTCAGCTCTTATTGTCAACCAGAGTATGTTCATGTGGCCTCTCCATGTAGTTGGGTTTCTTGCAGCATTGCAGTTGGGTTCCAAGAGGAATAGACTGAGAGTGCGTGTTCGGAGAGAGCTAGGTAGACTAGGTGTTGGAAGTCACATGACTTGCCTTCCACTGCATTCTATTGGATAAAGAAGTCACAAGTTCAGGTTCAAGGAGAGGAGCACCTCTTGAAGGGAGACATGTCAAAGAATTGGCGGTCACTTCCCTAAACCACCACACAGACTGTGTGTGAGCTGGAGACACCAGCAAGCTGTTTAACAACTACACTATTGTTAGAATCAGAGTGCATGCTGGCCGCACTTTGGAGCAGATCATGGAACACCTCCCTATCAGGTATTAATTCATTAATTTCTGATTCGTAGGGTGGTATAGAGGTTTCAGGGGGAGGGCTGGGACAGCATGGGTGGGGTAGGTCTGCTTAGGGGGATCTTGGGGAAATAGCTATTTGCCAACTGGTATGAAAGTATTTTAATATTTTAACAACAGGAACAGTGCTCCCATTGGGGGCCCACTGGAAGAGATTCGCAACCTTGGAACCTCCATGTGCCATTTTAGGCTGCTCCTTAGGTCTATCTCCCACCTTTTCCCTGCTGGTAGAGCTCTAAATTTATTTAGGTAATCACTTTCTCAGGACACCTTTCCCTAGCCTGAGAGGTGGATCTTGATTAGTCTAGCACTACCTTTGTAATTACATCTTCCTTGTCAGTGATTGGGTTAGACTTGGGCATATGACTAAATTCTAGCCAATGAGACAAGCAGGCACATGCAACTGGGAGTTTCTCTGAAAGATTTTCTTTGCTTCTAAGAACTGTGGAAGTATCAAGGCCCTAAACATTGTGAAGCAGAGACAAGCTATCCACTTTGGGCCTTGTCCAAATTAGTGACCCACAGAGTCGGTGAGCACATAGGATGGCTATTGTCTTACTCCATTAAGTTTTGGGTGATCTGTTATGACTTGGAGTATATTGTTTATGTGTGGCAGCTGGAGCTGTGGCTGCCATCTTGAGAGCATGAGGTAACCAGAATAAGAACTGGTCAACAAAAATGGAAAGAACCTGGTTTCCCAATGACATTATTGAATGAATGAATGAATGAATGAATGAATGAATGAATGAATCTTAGAACTTCCCTGCCAACTGACATTTTATGTGTGATAATAAACTAACTTTTGTTATACTTATTTGAGTTTGATTTTTGATACTTGTTATAGGTTAAAGTATCCTGATTGGTACACATGGAAAAAGGGGTACTCAGTTCACAGACAAGGAGACACAGAGAGATATATCAATGTGCATATATACACACACACTTGCACACATGTGGGCATGAATATGCTGTTATGCATCTTCAGTTAAACTCAAGTTCAAGTAGACATTCACTTGGATACATATACACACACAGGCACAGAAGTCAAGCACACACAAATATACACACCAGTCACGAATTTTGCCTGCACCACACAGACATCCACGCTCAGTCACAGACACATAGTCACACATGCACTCAAGGATTCACTAATCACAGAAGTTCTCATTACTTATTGTTTATATGAACATATTGTATAAAAGTAGAAAAATAAACATGTCTTTTGAACCTGAGTCAGGACTATATAGCTCAATAAATAAGGGATGAGAGGAAATAACTTAAAACTGGAGTGGGTGGGGCTTAGTGTATAAATAAGTTTTGGGCTCCCAGATGAGCTGGAGGTGGGTTTAGGTTCTCAGATGCAGAGATCTCCCTGAGCGACACAATTCAGGTCCCGTGTGAGGAGCCGGAAGAGGTTGAATGTGACAGTGGCTTCAAGGCAGTCTTGAGACACCTGTCAGAGAGATGAGAACATGGTTTCTCATTGCCTGGGCATCAGCCTTTTCCCTTACCCAGATCCCAGGCATCCATCCTCCCTTCCAGTAACTCACCTGCTTTGGGGCCTCCTGGAGCTGGTCCAGCCAGGGCTGGAGGTAGCCATGAGACCTGGGGCCTGCTGTGGGCTGAGTTGAAACCTATAAGCAGACAAGGGTGGTATGTAAGGCAGTGCCTGGGAAAGAAGGGGACACATACCACAAATATCGTCTGGTTGCCCCGAGCACTCACACAAACCTGGAGCTCGGAGTGGATGTGGTGCAGTGTGTGAAGGGGTTGGTCCAGGATGTTCCCAAGGGATGAGTCAGCCACAGTCTCCAGGACCTTCAGTGTCAGGGCCAGCTCAGCCTCCAAAGCCACAGGGCGCTCCCACACCTGAAGTGAGAAAGTACAAGTGAGGGGTCAGATGAGGTGGAAAGGTGACAAAGGAAAGGCAAGAAGTCACAGTTAAGTGGGGACAGGTAGGGAGTACAGGGCAAGAAAGGCAGGTGATAAAGGCACATGTGATGGGGACAGGTGATGGGTCAGGTGAGAGGGAACACATAAGGAAGGATAAAGATGAAAAGAATACAGGAAGGGCACAAAGATAAAGGAGGAGCCTGGCTGGTGTTGCTCAGTGGTTGAGTGTCGACTCATGAGTCAAGAGGTCACTGGTTCGATTCCTGGCAGGGCACATGCCCAGCTTGTGGGCTCAATCCCCAGTAGGGGTCGTGCAGGAGGCAGCTGATAGATGTTTCTCTCTCATCAGTGTTTCTATCTCTCTATCCCTCTCCCTTCCTCTCTCTCTAAAAATCAATAAAAACATTTTAAAAAAAGATAAGGGAGGAGACAGATTAGTGGACAGGTGAAAAAGTGAAATGGGGACAAGTGAAAGGTAACTCGTGGAGGTCACAGGGGTTTGAGGGACAGGGGATGGAGACATATGAGAAGAGAACAGGTTAGAGAAGCAGGTGAGAGGGGGACAATTAGATGCACAGGTTAAAAAGGGTAGATGAAGGAGGGGTGTATGCTGGTAAAAGATCAATGAAAGAAAAATGATGAGGGAGATAGGTGAGAGTCAGTGGTGAGGAAAACAGGTGAGAGGGGAAGAGGGAATTACTACTGAGAATAGGCAGTGACAAACTGAGCAGGGCAAGAGGCACAGGTGGGGGCAGACTTGGGAGTGGAGGTGAGAGGACAGGCAGAAAGATGATAAAAGGGACCCAGGGGAGGGACAGAGTCAAGGGAACATTTGAGGAGAGACAGGGGCACAGTAGTGGTGAGGAGAAACAAGAGAGAGGGAAGAACAGGTGAGATAAAGGAGGTGAGGGAGGGGGGATAGGGAGAGGGGCCAGGAGAGGGTAAGGGTGGCCTCAGCTCCAACTCACTTGCAGCTGTGTCAGTTTCCAGGGCCTGGGGAAGAGGCACGAGCTGCAGCTCTGGTTTTTCAGTGAATTTTCCTAGAGAGAAAGAGCAAAAGTAAGACTACAGTAGGAGGCTACCCCATAGCAGAAAGGATGAAGGTCTAGCAGGAGAAGATAGATATTAGTCATAGCTAAAGAGCTAGAGACTACACCATACCAGGAGTATAGAGGTTAGCACACAGTAACAGGGCAGCAGCTTGGCCAAAGCAGGAGTTGTAGGGGTTAGTCTACAATAACAGGGAGTCACAGGTCCAAGATAGTGGCAGTGTAGGAGGATACTGAACACTTCCCCTCCTAGGAGCACATTGAAATATACACCTATATATAAAGCAATTACTCCTGAGACACAGTTGATGGCTAAATGAAGAGTTTCTGAAAAACAAACTAAGAAAGACTGAATAGAGAAGGCTGGGAAACTGTGGGAGCTCTCTGGGAGCTGTGGGAACTCTCTGGGATTGAAGGTGCCAGTGAGAGCTATTGTATGTGTCCCTCTCCATCTTGATCAGGCAGATGGGAGCTCCATTTGGGTGCTCTGGCCTATCTGCAAGGTCACTGCAGCATGTTCCCAGCAACAGTGCCTGGAGCCCATTTCCGCTCTGAACAAAGGGAGCAAGCAGGATCAACAGATGATTACTACATCCACCTGGCCTCCCCACCTGGAGCAGCTCCATCTCAGTAGGCTAGTGCCCTGGATGCCATAGGTACCTGCTTGGCTCCAGCTGGCCTGCCAAAACCACCCAGCACAAACAGTCTAAGCAAAGGTCTCTTCTACACAAGACCATTTTTTTTCAAGACTGGAAGAGATAATTATTTTATCTAATTCATCTAAATGTACAAACTAAAACAAAATGAAAAAACAGAAGACTATCTTTCAAATGAAGGAACAAGAAGAATCTCCCCAACCCCCTTCCCCAAACCTTACAGAAATGGAGATAAGTAATTCCCCTGATAAAGAATAGAGAGAAATGGCCCTGCAGGGCATGGCTCAGTGGTTGAGCATCAACTTAGGGTCCAGGAGATCGCTGTTTGATTCCAGGTCAGGGCACATGCCTGGGTTGCGGGCTCGATCCCCCAGTTGGGGGTGTGTAGGAGGCAGCAGCTCAATGATGACTCTCTCACCACTGATGTTTCTACCTCTCTCTCCCTCTCCCTTCCTCTCTCTGAACTCAATAAAGATAAAAAAAAGAAAAAGAAAAAAGGAATAGAGAAAAATGGATGCTCACCAAATTTGAAAGAGGAATAGAGGAACTTAGGGAGAACTTCAACAAAGAAAAAGTATAATAAAGAACCAAAAAGAGCTGAAGAATACAGTTATTGAAATAAAAAATACACTAGAAGGAACCAACAGCAGATTAACTAATACAGAAAAATGGACCAGTGACCTGGAAGATCAGACTAGTGGCAATCAACCAATCAGAACAGAAAAAAGAAAAAAAGAAAGAAACCCACCCCCCCCCATGAGAACAGTTTAAGAGATCTCTGGAAAAACATCAAGCTCACAAACATTAACATTATAGGGATTACCAAAAGGAGAAGAAAGTGAGAAAGGAACAGAAACTTTATTTGAAAAAATAATGGCTGAAAATCTTCCTAGCCTGGGAAAGGAAACAGACATCCAGGTCCAGAAAACACAGAGTTCCAAACAAGACTAACCCCCAGAAATTCACACCAAGACATATTGTAATTAAAATGGCAAAGTTAAAGATAGACAATTTTGAAGGCAGTAAGAGGAAAACAACTAGTTATATACAAAGGAACTGCCAAATGGCTATCCACTGATTCCTCAGCAACAACTTTATAGGTTAGAAGGGTGGGGCAAGACATATTTAAAATGCTGAAAGAAAGAAACCTACCACCTAGAATAATTACCTGACAAAGCTATAGTTCAGAATAGAAGGAGAGATAAAGAGTTTCCTGGATAACAAAAACTGAGAGTTAATCACCATTACACCAGCTTTACAAGAAATGGTAAAGGGTCTCCTTTAAGCAGAAAAGAAAAGGCCATAAGCAGAAATATGAAAATATGAGAAAGGAAATATCTCACAGGTAAAGCCAAATATTTAATAAATATAGTAAATCAGACATTTAAAAAGCTACTGCAATGGTCAAAAGACAAAAGTACCAAACTCAACTCAAACTACAATAATAAGTTAGGATATACATAAAGAGATCTAAAATATGACATCAAAAACATAAAACATGGGGGAATGAATAAATATGTAGTCCTTTTAGAATATATTCTAACTTAAAAGCCTATCAACTCAAAATAGACTGCTATAGATATAGAATGATATCTGTAAATCTCATGGTAACCACAAACCAAAACCTACAAAAGATACACACAAAAATAAAGAGAAGAGTCCCCTCAAAAACATGAAAGAAAAACAACAAACCACAAGCGAAGAGATCAAGAGAAGAAAGAAACATGGGAAACTACAAAAACTACTAAAAAACAATTAATAAAATAGTAATAAGCACATACTTATCAATAACTATTTTAAATGTAAATTATACCTCAATTAAAAAACAACAACAAACCAATAGGTACTCACCAAGGCATCCTTGGCTTTCTTGAAGGCCTTCCACTCCGCTGGTAGCAGATATTTGAAGTTGCCAATGTTACAGCCCCTCTCCTTTGAGGGGGGATTGGAGGTGGGGACAGGGCCTGCTTTGGCCAAGCCCAGGCCCATGGCCACCAGGACTAGGAACCACGCTGTAGCCATGACCAAGTTGCAACTGAACTGCTTCCCCTACTGCATGGCTCTGCTTTATACCCAAGCTAAATGAGCAAACCTGGCTGATGTGTATAAAGAGAAAAGGAAAGTGTGAATTGTATTTGCTCAGGCCATGAGGTCATCGCTTCTCAGCCCTTTGGATAAGAAGAGTGTGAGAGGCATGGGTGGGCGGGGCCCGCTGGTGCGCCAGGTGAGCTCACAGGTATGGGTGGGGCCAGGGGAGCCCAGAGCTCTGTGAGAAGGAAAGAGAAACCGAAAACAATCCCAAAAGGGCGCCTGAAAAACCCCTGAGCTTAGTTTAGGAGTCCCTGGGAATTTTGTGAGCCCCAACTGAGGCTGTGGCAGGTAGAAGGATGGGCAGCGGGGCAGGGGCTGGGCAGGGTGTATGGGGCTGAGGAGTCTGAACGGCAGAGAGGGAGCTTCCTCCACTGGTTTAAGCATGTTCCACAAACTCACTCATTTCATGCTCTTGTGAGTACAGAAGTCCTCACTTAATGTCCTTGATAGGTTCTTATAACCCGTATGACGAAACCAAGTTGACTGTAGGCTGATTGATATAAACACGAGTTAAGTTCCTATGGCATATTTATGGTCACAAAAACATCACCAAACTTCTAAATAAAGACCCAAAACTTTTCTAATATTAAACACTGAAATAAATGTGAGCTATACACACATTTAAGGAAGATGTGTAAAAACAGCTCAGATTTTGATTTTCCAGCTCAGGGTGGCAGCTGGCTGGAGCCTTTCCTGGCAGCTCAGGGTAGGCAGTGCTCACCCTGGACAGGAGCCTTTCATCGCAGGGCCACTCTCACCCCACCCCCCTGCCCCACATTCACCCAGACAGGGACAATTTGGATACGACAATTTGGATAAACACATCTTTGGGGTGTGGGAGGAAACCGAAGACCCTGGAGAAAACCCACGTGGAATGGGGAGACCGTGCAAACTCCACACGGACAGTGCCCCCAGCTGGGGACCAAATGATTTTTCTTCTCATCAACGGACATTATAACAAAATAACACTGAATGAAACAACATTATTCGAAGATAGCTGTAGTTATTTTTAGTATCATCTCCCCTTATACTTGAGAGGAAACTCAGGTAGAGGAAGGCAAAGTGACTTGCCTACGGTCCCACAGCTGGTTCACGGCAGAGCTGGGCTTTGAACGGAGCCCCATGTGCATTCCCAGGAGCAGGGAACCTCTGGGAGCCACAGATACGCAGCTCTCCTTTCTCTCTCTCCGGGTAGCAGGACAGGGTAGGGAGCTCATTTGGGGGGCACCAGTGCTCGCTGGGGACGGAGGGGTTGCCTGGGGCGAAGGCAGTGAGGAGGGCTTGCAGAAGGCAGGGAGTCTCCAGCCCCCCACCCCCCTCCCATGGTAATATTTGTGTAGCAGGTAGGGGATGGTTCTGGTGTGCAGGCACTTCTTATTTTTCATTACTTTATATTTTTCTTGGCTCTTTGGTGCAGAAAATTATTAATCATACTCTTCAGATCATAACAGAATCACATTTGGCCCATGAGAGGCCCTCTAAGTTTTTATTCCCCTCCCCCACGCCCAC